GAATGCGCCAAGCACCCCGCGGTGATCCGCCAGGTCCAGGAGGGCCAGAGCTATGCCATCACGATGAAGGAGCTTCAAACATCAGTGCAGGAGGTAGCCGCATCGAGGTTCCCGAAATGGGACGAGGCCATCGCGCGCTACGTCGACATCGCTAGCAATATCAAGATGGTGGCCGAGGCCGTCGGCACGACGCATAGGGAGCAGTTGGACACCATGATCAGGGACTCCAGGAAGATCTGCAAGGGCGGCAAGAACGGGGAGCCTTGGACCGACGGCGTCAAGGGGAGGTCCCTCAAGCAGCTCGTCGCGCACGGGGTCGCCAAGCTCACGGCCGACGATGTCGACGTCGAGAGGGTGCAGTCGCTCGCTGGCGACATCGAGAAGGACGCATGGGGCCAAATAGAGCAGGGGGTAGGCGTCCGACAGCCAGAGCCCCTGCCCTCCCTCCTGGTGCCTCGGTCAGTGACCTCAGGAGGGATGGCAGGGGCTCGGGTTGTCGGATCAGCGGTTGGACGGATGTTGGGTCGTCGACGCCGTCGGTGTCGCCACCGTCGTCGACGGTACTTGTGGTCGTCGCCGCCGCCGCCGTCGTCGCCGTCGTCGCGGCAGTCGTCGTCGTCGCATTCGTCGCCGTTGCTCTTCCTTCCTCGCCCCCTCCACCCTCCGCCTCGCCCTCCTCATCATTCCCGAATCCCCGTCTGATCCCCATCCTCCTCCACGTCCTCATTCTCCCCGTCCTCCTCCTCGTCATCGTCCTGCTCATCCTCTTCATCCTCGCCGCCTCCCTCTTGCCCCTTATCCTCCTTCTCCGCGCCTCCCTCCGCAGGAGCTCGCGAACTACGCGGCGAAGTGCGAGGCGGTTGGGTTGCCGCCGCTCTCGGCCACCTACACGGACGAGATCGAGAAGAGCCTCGACTGGGGCCGCTCCTTGGACCCGCAGCTGCAGCTAGTGAAGCTGCTCGAGACGACGACGGACCAGCAGCTGTTGTACAGCTCCGCCCGCAAGATCGACAGCAAGCTCAAGAGGGGCCTCAAGCGGCTCGGCGCGGTGGACATCATCCACCCGACCCTGTTCAAGAAGTTGGACGCCATCCTCGGCTAAGAGCCGAGGGCTGCGACGGCGGCGGACCGCCGTGCCTCTCCGATCGGGACTGGCCGATCGAGGCGCTGCTGCGGAAGCGGCGCTGAGGAAATGCAGCGCACTCCCTCCAGGAGGAAGGATGATGATGATGAGGAGGAGGAGGAGGAGGAGGGGCAGGGGGCGGGGAGGAGGACAGACACGAGGGAGGAGGGCAAGGGACGTCAGGGGACAATGGAAACGGGGTGGAGGGGGTGAAGAGAGATGGCGAGGACGAGGGGTGCGGGCTCGGAGAGGGGAGGGGACTCCAGCGTCGCCGCGGCTGCACTGCGCTCGAAAAGCTGGACGCGGTGCCCCGTCGGCCTCAGGTAGGCTTCGGGGTAGAGCCGCCGCCCCATGGGCCGTCGACGTTTCGGGCGGCTCGGCCGTCGGAGGTTTCCCGCGGGGGTGATGTGCGCCCTCTGGTCCCTCCCTGCCCTCCTCGCTGGCGCCCCACCCTCTTGTCCACTCCGCCGTTCCTTTCCGTCCTCCCCCGCCCGTCCCTCCAGGCCGCCCCGCCTTCCCCTCCCTTCCCTCCCGCTCTCTCCTCGCGTATTCCCGTTGCTTTGCTGTCCCGCCTGCCCCCGCTGGCCCGTCGAGGACCCGATCCTCGTGAGGAGTATGCCGTTATGGGCGAGGGGGGCCCTTGCCATGTTGCCCCGCGGGGCTTCAGGTGGAGCCCCCAGTGGGGCGCGATCCGATCGAGGGGTGCGCCGAGATAGCGGCGCCGATTGGTGTTCCGCTGAAGCTCCCTACAGCGAGCTCGTGGCCCGCGTGCGTTACGGCGTTGATCGGCGTTCGCACTGCCCTGGTTCGCGGGGCCTGGTGCGATAACGATGCATGGTTATTAGACCATGTTGAAGAAAGCCCAAGGCCATGTAAACCACCATGTGTTTCAAGGAGCTCGAAAACCATCTCTGGACCATTCTGGGTCTTTCCTGGGAAGTAATATCCTGGGGGGACATGATGATCATAAGGTCAGTGGCACCTCCTGGTCTGAGGTGAGCGTTCCCAATGACGTTCGCGGAGGCAACGCCCCCCACCATCCCGCTGCCGCGCACTCCCTTGTGCTGGCCGGGGTCGTGGGGGCCTTCCCCTCCCCCCTAATTCGGTGCAGGTGGCCTGTCCTGGGCACGGCGCGTCGGCGCCCGCTCGCTCGGTAAGCGCCCGCCAGACAAAAAAAACTTCGGCGCCAGATCGGGCGGCATTGGCGCAGTGTTTCGGGGATCCCAGACCCCCGACGTCACGCCTCTTGTCACAATGTCGACCCCAGAAGCCCATTCCCCAGAGCCGGCTCTTCATCTCGAGTCGTTGCGTCGACAAGCCCGAGGCCCGGCGGGGGCCCCCGGGGGCCGAAAATGGAGAAATACCTACCGTTACGAATTTGTCATGACCGGCCGCGGCCGCCGCCGCAGCCGCGGCCGCCGTCGTCGTCGTCGTCGCCGCAGTCGTCGTCGTCGTCGTCGCCGTCGCCATCGCCGTCGCGTCGTCGTCGTCGTCGTTCGTCGTTCGTCGTTCGCCGTCGTCGTCGTCGTCGTCGTCTGCGTCGTCGTCGTCGACGTCGCCGTCGTCGTTGTCGTCGTCGTCGTCGTCCTCATCGCCGTCGCCGTCGCCGTCGTCGTTCGTCGCTCGTCGACGTCCGCCGTCGTCGTCGTCGACGTCGCCGACGCGCCAGGCCCACGGATCCCTGGCCAGGAGTGCCACTGGCCCAAAGGGGGCCCAGGGGATTCCCAACTAGGCCCCCGTGGCCTCCAGGGCACCCCTCACGAGGCCCAGAGGACTCCAGGGGCGCAACAATTGAGCGAAAGCTGGGAGGCACCGTGGGCCAGGGGCAGCTTCCCAGCCCCCCGACGTCACGATTGGTTCATGACGTCGACCCCGCACGTCCCGACCCATTCCACGGGAACGGTTTTTTCATCCCGAGTCGTTTTTGGACGGCCCCAAAGCCCGGCGAGGGCCAGCAGAGGCCGAAAATAGCGCAAAGCTTCCCGTCGCGATCAGGCATCCGCCGATACGATTATTTCACCCCGCGGCCCCATTCTCAGAAGGCGGCGGGACTTTTAAGAAGCCCCCTCCGACGGGAGGCAGAGAGGAAGGGATAACGGTTCGACACACGGGTGCGACTCTCCCGGGCGCGCCAGAGTGTTGGTTTGTCGGGGAGCCCCCGCCTACGGGGAGTCGGTCTCGGCATGTGTGGTTTGGCCTTGGGTGCATCGTGGTGCCGCCCCGCGACGGCTGCCAGGGGCTACCCTTCAGCCCCGCAGCTCCCGCCCGCTCGCCGCAGCTCTGCTGCGCGATGTGTCCCCCGCGCCCGGTCCCCCATCCCGCGGCCGCCTGCCGTACCTGTCCCTCCCCCCTGCATGCGGGTTCACTCGCGAGTCCGTGCCCCAGTCTAGCCCAGATGCGCGAGCGGATCGCCTCCTGCCGCGTTGCGACGTACCCCGAAAAAAATTCCATGCGCATGACAATTTAAAGTTGTTTTTTTTGGTTGTAGACCCTGCCTTCAGCGTGGAGAGAACCTACCGGCAACGATCTGCGTCCAAAAACCCAGAGATATGATGTCATCTTCGTGCCATGACGATTCCGCAAAATGCAGCAAGTACACCTTGGATGCTGGCACTATCGGTAACGTCAGCAACCAGGAAACGTAGAGCCCCATGCCGCACTTCCATGCCACACGACGGAACCGAGTACCAAATGGAGGGGACGAGCATGATGGAATGAGGATACCAGCCAGCGTGGATCCCAAATGACTGCGTGATGTCACGGTGGCGGTGAAAGCTGTGCGGCGCAGGCTGCGTGGCGGAAGTTATGTCGCGTGAGCGATGTGGTGTGAGCCGTGGAGGCGGGAGCTGTGCGGCGCGGGATGCGTGGTGTAAGCTATGCAGCCGGAAAAAAAAGTGGTGCGAAGCGGAAGTGCTGGCCGAGGTGCCAGCTATGCGGCGTAAGCTGTGCGGAGCGCCCGCGAGGCGGCACGGGCGGCAGCGCGGCGCAGCCCCAGCGCATGCCCTGAGCGCGGGGCGCCCGCGAGGCGCCCACGAAGCGTCACGGGCCCGCAACGCGGCGCAGCCTCGGCATAACCCCCCAAGCGAATGGGCGCCCAACGAGGCGGCACAGGCCCGCGGCGTGGCGAAAACGCGGAAGCATGGTGTAAGGAAAGCACATGCGAATTCCGAAATGCAACCACTGCTTAGGCACTGAATATGAGAAACAACGAACCAAAGAGACAGAGAGAGAGAGAGAGAGACAGAGAGAACAAACAAAGAGAGAAAGAAAAAGAGAGAGAGAGAGAGAGAAAAACACACACACACACACACACACACACACACACACACGCGCGCACGCGCGCACGCACGCACGCACGCACGCACGCACGCACGCACGCACGCACGCACGCACGCACACACACACACACACACACACACAGACACACACACACACACACACACACACACACACACACGCGTGAACGGCACTTGGAATTTCATGTAGCTTGCCCTACGCTGTCCTGCCAACAAGAGTCCCACAGGGCGAAATATGGAACATTCGTCATGCCATTCGATGCTATGAGGTGTTATGTGTCAGACAGCTCTGCACCCTCCTTGGAACCCGAGACTGCGGAAGATACACGACAGAGACGGTGCGAGGGCATCGAGCTGGAAGGAGGACGCGAAGAAGGACGCGAAGGAGGAGGAGGAGGAGGAGGAGGAGGAAGAGGGAGGGAGGGAGGGAGGGAGGGAGGGGAGGGAGGGAAGGGAGGGAGGGAGGGAGGAAGGAGGGAGGAGGCACGAGGGGACGAGGAGGACGAGGAGGACGCCGACGACGACGAGGAGCGAGGCGCCGCATCGAGGCAGGGCGGGAGAGGGCTCGCCCCCCCCCCGAGGAGGGACAGCTCCCGCGCCATCGCGAGCGCGAGGGCGCCCAGCTCCACGGCCGCCCGGGAGCGCGCGCGGGCGGCGAGACGGCGGCGGCGGCGGCGGCCGCGCGGCGGCCTCCGCGGCGGCGGCGCGGCGGCGGCGGCGCGGCGGCGCGGCGGCGGCGGCGCCGACGGCGGCGGCGGCCGCGCGGCGGGGCGTCGCCGCGGGGCGTCCGCCGCGGCGGCGTCGGCGCCCTCGCCTCGGAGGCCTCGTGGCGTCTCGGAGGGGGCCCCATCGCCGGCCGCGGCCCGGCGAGAAAGGCCCTCGAGAGAGGGCAGGGCGGGGAGGGGGGGAGCCCTCGGAGGTGTCCGGCGGGGGGGGGGGGGATCGAGGAGGTGGGGGGCTGGGCGGCGGCGGCGGCCACGGCCAGCGGCGGAAGGTGGGGGGGGGTGGGGGGGGGGGGGGGGGGGGAACATCGTTGGCGCTCCCGCGTCATCGGGGCAAGCCTGCGGGCGCCAGGGGGGAGGCGTCCCGCGCCCGTGGGCGCCAGCAGTGGAGGGGGGGGGAGGGGAAAAAACGCTGGCGCTCCCTTCTCATCGGGGCAAGCCTGCGGGGGGGGGAGGCGCTTCGCGCCCGTGGGCCACGGCCAGCGGTGGAGGGTGGGGAGAACATCGTTGGCGTGCCCTCGTCGTCGGGGCGAGCCTGCGGGCGCCAGGGGGGAGGCGCTGCGCGCGCCCGTGGAGGCTCTTTTTTCTGCCTCCCCCTTTGTCTCGTGCTCCTGCTCGTCGTCGGTGCTGATGTCTGTGAGGCAGTTCAGGGGCTCAAGAAGGCATGCGAGTGATGCATTCCCAGTCCCATTCTTCCGCGTGGATTCCACAAAAGGGGGCCCGCAGATGCTCCAGAGCTCTTGGAGAGCGTCTTGCGCCAATCGCAGCATGACACCATCATCGCCCTAATGTCTGACAGGGCGGCGTGTCAGGGATTGTGGACGGTCCACAGCGGCCACTCTTTTGGTTCAAGCCCGGCACGGCCAAAACGTTGTGGAGGCAGCGGGCAGCGGTACCGCAATATCTGTTCGCCGTTTCGCAGTGCAGTCTGTGGCTCCTCCCGAGGAGAAAGATTCCAATCACAGCGTTGCCGGTTTGATGTGCCGCCTCCTCCTCCTCTTTCTCCTCCTCCTCCTCCTCCTCCTTCTCTTCCTCCTCCTCCTCCTCCTCCTCCTCCTCTTCCTCTTCCTCTTCAACCATCCTGTTCCCCCTCATCTTCCTCATCATCATCCTCGCCTGGATGAGGACAGAGAGAGGAGAATTCAGAGGATGAAGAGGAGGAGGGAAAGGAGAGGGAGGAGAACTCCGTGAGCGGGGGGGCAATATCGATTCCCTTTTGTAGGCTCTGAGCTGGGCGGGGCAGCTCGATACCGGCATGCCGTTCGGGAACTTCGGATTTTCGTTTGATGGCAGGCTGTTCGTGGTTGGATATTGCTTGGGTCCACTTCTGTTGTAATTACAGTCAAGACGCTAACAGCTAAGAACCATCTTGGTGCTCAGGAGGAGCTATAGTTTTTGGGCCAACTGTAGGTTTCAGGGCCCTGTTCAGGGCTGAGAGACCTTGGCCCAGTTTGCCCTGGATGCAAGAAATGCGTGTGGTCATGTCGCGGCGTCGGGCAGCGTTGAGGGTTGATCCGCATGGGTGTTCTTCCGCAAAGTCCAGGCATGCCGTGAAGAGGCGTCCACTCTGGACGGTTCGGACACGCGAGACATCCAAGGACACAAGGCCGCGGACTGGCCAGCTGGGCAGAGTCCCCGCTCCCACGAGCTTGACCTGTCCTACCCGCGAGAGCATCCAGGCCATCCACACTCCTTCTCCAGAGGGGGGGCGGCGCGAGAGGGCGGGCTTCTCTCGCGTCGCCTCGGGAGGGAGGCGAGGAGGAAGGAGGAGCGAGGAGGGAGGGAGGGAGGGAGGGAGGGAGGGAGGGAGGGAGGGAGGGAGTGAGGAGAAGGAATGGGAGGAAGAGGAGAGGAGGAAGGAGGAGGATGAGGAGGAGGAGAGGAGGAGGAGAGAGGAGGAGTAGCAGGACGAGGAGCCAGCCTGGGTGACGGCGGCGGAGCAGGGCGGCGGCGGCGTGCCGCGCAGGTTGGGCAGGGCGGGCGCGGAGGGGCGCGGCGGGGCTGCGGGGGGGAGGAGGGGCGGCACTGGCCAGCTGCGGCAGAAGGGTGGGGAGCTTTCTGGACGCCCGAAATGGGCACGGAAAGAATGGGTACTATGCCCAACAGCAGTTCCTGTTCATTTTGAGCAGGATTCGCTGTCCACGCCGCCGCGGCCTGTGTCCATTCGAGACAGAAGGCCGCCTGCCCAACAGCGGCCGCTGTTGGTTTGGGACAACATTTGTTGTTGGGCATCGTACCCATTTTTTCGGTACCCATTTCGGGCGTCCAAAAACTTGATTTTAGGGGAGGAAAGGGCAAGGACCGACCACAACGCTGTTTCGCGCGGTTTGGGCCCTTGTCGTGTTTTTCGTGTCGTTTCTCGTTGTTGTTGTTTCGTTCCGTTGTTCGTTGCTATTTTGAACGCCCCGGTTCGTCTTTCGTTTTCGATTGGCACCGGTTTTGTCTAAACGTCCGTTTGGAACGTTGGGCTTCGTTTCGTTGTTCGTTGTAAACGACATTTCGTTCTAAACATCGTTGTGGTCGGTCCCTGGGAAAAGGTCATGGCGCCAACATCGCAGAGCGGATTTCGTTCGGAAAACGATGGGGCGGGCCCGGGGTCGTCCTGGAGAGTTTCGTTCCGGATTTCGAGGTGAGTTTCGCGCGGATGTTTGTTTGGCCAGTGATGAAGGCCAAAAAAATCCACGCGAAAAGCACTTCATTTGTCACTCGCCGTTTCGGGGTTGTGCATTGGCAGAAATCCACGCAAAAATCCGCTGCAGCACGTCTGCAAGGTCGGTGCAGTGAGAAGGGTGGGGGAACTTGATTTCAGAGGAGGAAAAGGCATCCATACCGCTACAGCGGGCCACAGCGCCGGCCACATCCATGATTATGAGAGTTGCTCTCGCTTCAGCGCCAGCCAGGTTCTTCATTGGTGGTACAGTTCGCACTTTTGCATTGCACGATGCTGTGTCGCCCCGTTCTGGCACATAATTTGCTACAGCGCGCATGACACACTGGCGTTGCCGTGTCGTTGGTCAAGTTAGCTTTAATGGGTCAGGTTAGCTTTGGCGAACGTTTAGGAAAGTTTAGGTTAGGGATTTGCCACGTTAGGGGGGGGTACCCTTCGGCCGTTTTCCCTTTTTGGGGGGCCTCCTAAGAGGCACTCGTCACCACCGCTGGATTCGCCTCGAGATCCTGGTCAGAACGCACCCCAGGAGAGGCCCAGGGGGTAGCGGCATCGGTACTTGTTGGCTTCCCCATCATTTCATGTGATGCTTGATTTGCGCCCAGCTCGGAGCTAGCTCCAAGACTGGAGCTCCAGAGCTGGCTGAGCGGAACTAGGCGCATCGAGCATCTTGACTTCGCCTGAAGGGTGGGAGGAGGGGCGGCGCTGTGCTGAGTGGAAGTGAGAGGTCGGAGCGGAGGGGGCGGGGCCACGATGTTGCAGTAAACGTTCCTTGCAAGGACGTTCCCTCCCAGCTCCCTCTTCCTAGTCTCCCCCGCGGATGCATGTCAATTGCAAGAAGTGTCCCGTTGGAAGACAACCGTCTGAAAATCTTCAACAGTGCCAACACACCATTCCTGGGACTTCAATGCCACGAATGAATTTTACTCTTGCGACTTGACGATCATAAATCGTGCCAGTCCTCGTCCTCTCCATATCTCCGCAGAGTATGCGTTTGCAGTGTTGTCAGCTGTAGCTCGCTGGGAGCCTCTTTGGCGCGTGGGCTCTGAGCGGGGCGGGGCCCGCTCCTCATGTTTCTCCCTTCAGTGTTGGCTGTATGCTTGTGGGCCGACTAGGCCACTAGGGGTGCAATCACCGACGCTGGGGGCAGTTGCATGACAGCAGACTGTTTCGTTTCATCTTCTCCTCCCTCCTCCCACCTCCTCCTCCTCCTCCTCCTCCTCCTCCTCCTCCTCCTCCTCCTCCTGCTCCTGCTCCTCCTCCTCCTCCGTTGCGTCGGGTGTGTTTTTTATATAAATAGTTGGCCGAGCCAACGGGGATGCCCACACATAGCATTTGTTTTCCCGCTTCTCGTCTCTCTCCTATTCCTCCTCCTTCCTCTTTCCCCCTTCCTTCCTCAGCTGAGTTGCGCCATGTATAGCTCAGGGGTCGTTCACTAAAGGTTTGCCCACAGGGCTGTTCACTCGACGTTTGCCCCCAGTGGTGTAGCATACCTTCCTGTCATTTGGCAAGTTGAGGTGGCTGGAGGCTCCATCATGATGTCCGCTCCCATCGTCTCCTTCCGAAAGGGATAACAAAAAACATAAAAACGGTTCTGGGACGTCAACCGTAAGAATGCTCGAAACGGCTGTAAATATTCAGACGAATGTGCGGGGCGCTACGGCGAGAGCCACATTTTGAAAAGGAGCCTCCCTCCGTGCAACTCTCGCAATTGTTTAAGACGACTGTGCGCGGCGCAAAGGTGAGAGCCACATTTTGAAAACGGCCCGCCCTCCATCCGTGAAATTCTTGCCAACTTTTGAAAACGGATGTGTGCGGCGCTACGGCGAGAGCCACATTTTGAAAACGTCGCGCCCTCCATGCGTGAAATTGTTGCAAATTTCGAGCTCCAGGATCATAAATGGTGAGGGAGTATTAGGCGAAACGCCCGGCCCGCCACACCGACCCACATCGGGGTGCGATAGGGAGGAGCTATTGATCAGGAAGGTGATGGCGGAGGACGACGACGAGGAGGAGGAGGTGGAGGAGGAGGAGGACGAGGGAGAGGGGTTGCTTCGGCTGGCGGGCGGCGGAGCTTTGAGCGGCGCCGTGCCGTGCGTTGTCGGAGTCCTCAGACACAGGGCGTGAACGCACAGAACGATGACATCTAAAGGTCCGGAGGCGTTGGGGTGCATGGCTGCCCGAACGGCGGCAACGGATGAGAAGGTGGTGGCCCCGGGCAGCAGGAGCTGGACGTTACGACGGGCACCCTGGAGGTGCCCCAGGAGATCCAGGATATCGCGGCCGCCGGCGCGGACACGAAGGACTTCCGCTCGCGACGACGACGCAGACGACTTCGACGTCGCAGATGATGATGACGCAGGCGACATCGACGACGACAACGGCGAAAGATCTTGATGTACTTTAGGAGGGGGCTCAGTGGCCGGGGGCCTCGCTGCCACGGCTGAATTCGTCCCGAAGGCTTGGTTTCGGAACCGCTGTCCGAGACCAGTCCGGGGACTGACGTTGAAGTTCGGGGGGGGCACCTCCCCTGACATCTGGGCATCGAGGGAAAAGTACAGTTGGACCGAGGTACAAGATCGGGATCGGCTCGGACAGGTGATCCTAATCTTTTTCGTGTTGGTTGGATGCTTTTGTGCATCCCGGGGGAGGGTACCCTTGGATGTTCTTTGTGTTTTGGCCGGCGGAGGCCCTCATGTTCTTGAGGGATGTGCTTCTGTCTTGGGTCCAGCTGTGCGCCGATCGATCTCGCCCTGCCTCGGGCCCAGGAGACCCTCACAGGTCGACCCAGCGGGAGACATCCCGCTTCAAACATGTGGTGGGAAGTTTGCCGCGGTCTTGCTTACGGCGTGATGGCACGGGAAACGAAACCAGCATCAGTGACACGCCGACGTGGGGAACTTATCAGCAGGATCGACCTCAAATAGATACTTGGGTTGATTTGGGCCCGGGAATATGTCGTGAGGTTCATCATGTTCCCCGCGGAACATTGCAGATTGGGGTTCAGAAGTATCTGGGAACACGACTTGGAGTTGCTAATGCCCCCCCTCGGAACATTTTGAGTTTTGATTGCTTTAACATGTTCAGGGCACCTTGCTCCGAAACCCCCATCTAACGAATTGTGCTTTTCATGCTGGGATGATACTAATGATAATTTTCCCCCAACCCCCCGTCACCAGGAGAGATCCACCATGTTCGGATACTAACCCTGTTCCATTGCTCCTAGAGCATTATAAGTTGGGGCTCAGAATGCCGGAATTCTAAGAACCGAGCGGGGGGCGGTCGGTTTGGTTCACTCTTTGTTTTTTCCCCAACGTAGGCTTCTCACAGGGAGAATATCAACCACGGTTTATTACTTTGGAATCATGGACCTGGATTTTATTGAATCCAGGAAAGATGGTAATTGAGTGGGGTGTGATCGACAACTCCGCCAGAAGATTACGAAGTGGGATTCACCATCGAGTGATATTATATTCAGGTTTTACTAACCACGGCCGACGAAAATTTCACGGGTGTCCTCACCGATTAGCATGTCATCGTTGCAATAGCATATCGACGGGCTAGAAGCGGCAGCGAGTCGTTGGCATTTGTTCTACGTTGGATGTTTGCCACGACGTCGGACGTTGGGGTGTGCATTCAGCGGAAAGACGATTTCTTCGCAATGTAAGATTTATTCCCGAATTATTGCATAGATGGTGGGCAAGCCGGTTTCACAGCGTGGTTCTCTCTTCAGTTCTTCGTTCATGAGTCTTACAAGTTCCTAACCTTTTCTCGGAAAGAGAGTGGGCCGTTTGTTTATATAGTTTGGTGATTGGTTGGCAAGATCGCAAGAGTTACACGGATAGAAATTGAGGGCGGCATGTTTCATAATGTGGGTTTCGCTTTTGTGGCACGCACATTCTTTCTAATAGCTTGCAACCACCCAACAGACTGAGGTGGCCACCATCAAGAATGAGACCTCGCCTTGGCGCTGCGCTCACTCGCTCTCTTCACGCCTGCAGCAACTACACGGATGGACGGCGGCTCCTGTCTCCCTCAGGCCTCACAGCCCAAAACGTCCAAACGCTTCACGGATGGAGAGGGGCCCATGTTTTGGAGGTTGATAGACTTCCTACCCGGACGCGTCGATTGAGGAATTGGCCGTCTGCGGTTCGCGAGAGGGCGTCGCGGCCGTCGTCTTTGCGGGTCCAGGTCCGTCGGTTTCGGTCCCAGGCCGTTTTCATTAAAGGGTGGTCTACTAAAGGGAGGTTTGACCACCGCCGAGTGTTCAAAGTTTATGATGTTCCAACCTACTTTAGCCTTGATCACCAGAAAGAATTTCGAGCACCAGAAAAGTACCCACAAACTCTAGGGTTTTCACGTGTCGGGCCCTGGGAGACACTCGTCCGACACTGTTTCGGCACTCTTTCGACACTCTTTCGACACTTTTCCGGGTGCTCGAAATTATTTCTGGGATGTGGTCTTTGAGTACGATGGGAGCAACGTAATTCAAAGCGTGGCTCCAGCGGCCGCCGGCGCGCGCTCGGCCGGGGCCGCGCGCTGGGCCGACGCCCTGCTGCCTTCCGGGGCGCTCGGCCGCCGCCCCGCTTCTTGGCCGCTGCCGCACGCCTGGCCTCCGCCGGCGCGGCCGGCCGCACCCCTCGGGGCCCTCCGCCCCGAGGCCCGGGCGCTTCGGCGCCCGGCCGAGTGCGCGGCCTCTGCCACGCGCCGCTCCGCCGGGGCCTCCGCCGCAGGGACCCCGCCACAGTGGCCGCCCGTTCTCCTCCCCCCCCTCGTTTGTCGGGGAAGGGAACGGTGCCCATACCGTCGGGGCCCTGAAGAAAAGAAGCCCTTTTCGTTGGGGAGGGGGTCCGTGTTCCTTGACTGCTTCAGAGTTTGCCTTGGGTTTTCCTTTGGTTGCCGAGGGGAAATCGAAGTTCAACTTGTGGATGAAAGGGGCCTCGTTCCTTATTTAGGGTTCCTTGGGTCAAAGCTCCGACTGTACCTCTACCCCATGGGAGTTTGGCCCTTTTCGGGCCTCTTGGGAGGCCCTCGTCGCCATCGCTGGATTCGCCTCGAGATCCTGGCCAGACCGCACCCCAGGAGAGGTCCAGGGAGTAGCGGCATGGGTACCATTTGGCTTCCCCAGTTTGAGCGACGCAGGCAATTGGGGTCGTCTTCGCCGACGCTGGCGCGCGAGCTGCCCCCGCGCAGTGTCGCGCGTGAGCGCCCTCGTGTCCAGTGTGGCGTGTCGCGCGCGGCGGCCCGCGCAGGCCACCGCGCAAGGTCGCTGTGTCATCTCGCGTGAGTCGGCGGCGAACGAGGGGGGGAGGTGAGGAGGAGAAGGCCTCCTCAGAAGGCGGCGGGGCTTCTCAGAAGCGCTCCGGCCTTCTGAGAGGTGTTCTGCGTCTTCGGGGGAGGCTTCGAAGACTTCTCGGAAGGCCAGGGGACCTCCGAGCCTCCTGAGAAGGCCCGCCCCCTCTCCCTTTCCCCCGGACTCGCCGCCGCGTAAGACCCTTGGATGGCGCGTAATTCGGGTGCGATGAATGGGAGGACTGCGAGGGCCCCAAAGGGGCCCTGCAGGGCCCCAAGGGGAAATTTTTGGGCCCGAAGAGGGCCGCCTTTCTTCCCCACCCCGCGTATGTATCGCCCCCCATTACTTCGCACCCAAAACCTTTCTTTTGTCGTAGCTCATGTTCGGGTATAGCCAGGACCCCGGTTACGGGGAGCCGGTTAGTGATTGGTCCCCGAAGCCCAAAATATGTATTGGAGTCACTAAACCAGGTTTGCCAAATAATTGATGCTCTCGGGTCACGGCAGTTCCGGCTAGTGGCTAGTGGAATGGGACGGGGGGGCGCCCCCCCGTACAGATCATTGAATCAGGTCCCCCACTAGACCCAGTGAGGAGGAGGAGGAGGAGGAGGAGGAGGAGGAAGACGTCCTGCCATCGCCCGACATGAAGCCACGCCCGACTCACTCGCTGCCTTCCGCCGCCCCCTCGCGGAGGGCCGGGCCGGGCAGCGAGCCGCCCCGCCCGCCGCCAGACCCCGCACTGGTCGGACGCCCCGGTGCTGGACGTGCGGACAAGCAAGGCCGTTCGGGAGGGAGGGGGAAGAGGAGGAGGAGGAGGAGGAGGAGGAAGGAGAAGGAGGAGGAGAAGGAGGGGGAGGAGGAGGAGGGGGAGGAGAGAGGAGGGAGGGAGGGAGGAGGAGGAGGAGGAGGAGGGGAGGGGAGGGAGGAGAGGAGGTAGGAGAGGAGGAGGTAGAGGAGGAGGAGGGGGAGGAGGAAGGAGGAGGAGGAAGAGGTGGAGGGTGGCGCCTCGGGAAGAGCCTGCGGCGGCAGCGTGGGGAGGCCCTCCATGAAGAGTGCGTCCGGGGGCGGCGGAGAGCGGGCGGGCCTCTTCTCAGGAGGCCCAGAGGTCCTGTGGCCGTCCGAGGAGTTCCCTGAGCCTCCCCCGAGGACAGAAGAGGTGTCAGAAGGCCGCATGGCTTCTGAGAGGCCCCGCCGCCTCCTGAGAAGGCCCAGGAGGGAGGAGGGAGGAGGAGGGCGGAGGGCGGAGGGCGGAGGGAGGCTCTCCTTCTCGCTTCCCCGCGGGCGCGCCGCCAAGAAGCTGTCCTGGGCTCCGGCGGGCTGCACCGCCGCGGGCTGCTCTTTTGTTCCCGCGGCTGCGCCCCGTCGAGGGCTTCTTTTTTTTCCGGGGGGATGCCCGAGCCGCCCCGCACGGCCGCCAGGGGAGGCGCGAGTTGTCACCCCCACAACTCCACCGGGCGTCGACGAGAGGGGGTGAGCCCAGACCCCCTCGGGTCATTAACAAAAAAAAACATGACGGGAGGTTTTCCATATTTGCGGCCGTTGGGGGCCCTTGCCAGGCCTCGGGGCCGTCAAAAAACGGCTCGGGATGAGAAACCAGTCCCGGGGAGTGGGTCGAGACCTCTCGGGGTCGACGTTATGAAAAAGTCATGACGTCGGCGATCTGGGAGCACCGGTGGGGTATGGAAATCATGACTGGGGCTTTCATCTCCCAGGTTTCATGGCCCCTTCACTGTCTTCCAGCACGTCCCCATGCAGGGCTCGACCTATCAGCGGTGTTTGAGCGATGTCGTGGGCCGTTTTCGTCCTGGCTTCGCTCTGCAACACCAGGGCGGAGCGAAGACGGAGCGAGGGAAACAACGAAACAGAACGAAGACGATCGGCACTGTTCCGGTCGAGCACGGCCCCGCTTCTTCTCACCGAGCGCGTTCCACTACTCGCAAAGTGCCTACTCGCAAACGTCCGAAAAGTATGCGTTCGCCTCGATGTGATGTATCGTGCATCCCTGGCGACTGATCCAGGCCACTTGCGAGCAGTGAATTTGCGAGTCGTGGAACGCGCTTGCCTATATTCGGCGCACCCGAACCCAGGCCTCCCAGACCAGGCCAGGGCAGGCGGGGTCGAGAGATCGCGCCGCAGAGCTGATGCATCGACGAGACGGCACGATCTGGAGCCCGCTCCTCCTCGTCATGCCGCCGTCGCCGATGCCCTTCGGTGATGCGGCCCGATCCTGCGATGTTATCTTTACGTCGGGCCTCTCCCTCTACAGGAGGGGTACGTATTCAAAAAATAAACTCGTTGTTGAATAGATCACATGATATATATATATATATATATGTATGTATACCCATACATATATATATATAGAGAGAGAGAGAGATATAAAAAAACAACATGTTTTTGTTTGTGTAATTCTGTTCGTCCGAAATCCTCCTGCAGGTGGACAGGCCCGACCTAGAGTTGTCTGACCGGGCCCCAGCCCAGAGGCCTTCAGAGAAAGCTAAGCTGCGCACGGAGCCGGGCGTGGGGGGGGGGGAGGGGGGGGACGGCGGGAGCCTGGGGAGAAGGCAGGGGGGGGGGGAAGAGGAGGCTCGGCATCGCTCGGAGGTGTGCCCTTCTTTTCCTCGGCGAGGGGCCTCGAGGAGCCTCCTGGGCCGTCCATAGCAAACGAAGCACGCACGAGACCGAACAAAAAAGCGCGGGGAGGGGACGTCCGAGCACGATGGCAAGGAGGAGAAGGAGGAGGAGGATGAGGAGGAGGAGGAGGAGGAGGAGGAGAAGGAGGAGGAGGAGGAGGAGGAGGAGGAGCAGCCGCGGCGGGAGCGGGAGAGGGAGCGGGAGCGGGAGCGAAAGCGGCGGGAGCGGGAGCGGGAGCGGGGGGAGGAAGGGGAAGAAGGGGCCGGGGCGCAGGAGGAGCAGTATAGGCTTGCTTTGCCCGGGCGTCGTACTGGTAGGCCTACTTAGTCCTGCTAGTACGCCCCGCGGTCGTAGTGGTAGACGTTCGTAGCCGTACTCGTACGCTCGACCGTGCACGTCGCAGTCGTGCTAGTAGCTGTACATAGCCGTCCCAGGGAGCCGTGGCAGCACGGGAGGGGGAAGAAAGGGCTGGGGAGAAGGAGGAGGAGGAGGTGGATCGACTACACATGAGAGGGACCCTTCGCCGGAGTGACCTAGTGCGGGCTCACCAGGGCCAACCCCCGACCTTTGAGCGCGATGCGTTGGTGGTTGCTTGCGCAATTGGACTTGGCCACCTTGCGCACACCTGATCCGCGCACGGAAGGTCACTCGTGCCCAGGAACGCTCTTTGCGTGCAGCCGGGTGGGGGCCAGGAGGGTGGAGCGGAGCACGGGAAGGGCCAGGGAGGTCGGGCCAAGGAGGCCAGGGAAGTCGAGGACACGAGCGGCAGGCGTGCGAGATTTCGTCTCGAGGTCTGGGATGGTTCAATGATCTGGTGTCCTGGGCTTGCCTCCAGGGCCGCCAGGACGGCCCCGGAGCGGCCCAGGGCGTGCCCCAGGAGCGGTTCTTCCCCCGCCGCCGAGCAGAACACAGAGACTCGCTCATATGGGCCGCAGATTATCCTCCTTCTCCTCCTCCTCCTCCTCCTCCTCCTCCTCCTCCTCATCATCATCATCCTCATCCTCATCCTCATCCTCCTCCTCCTCCTCCTCATCTTCCTTCTTCCTTTCCTCCTTCTCTTCCTCCTCCTCCTCCTCTTCCGCCTCCTCCTCCGCATCCTCCTCCGAGCCAACGACTGCCGCCACTGAGCTCACCGATAGAATCATGGTAGGACGGCACAGCTTCAGCCAACTCCGCGACGAGCTAACAAGCAAGCAGCACCTCAAAGAGGGCTTGGGCTGTTCACTGGAACCACGACGCCGATTGTCGTTCACGACTACACTTGTTGGACATCGATCAACTGGATATTCTTGACACTCAGTCTGGCGCCACATTGGCGACTCACTCCAATGGCCAGCACGACATCACCAAGCACGACGGACTTGCCCATCGTGGTCCGCGTCCCCACTGTGCGGGGTGTGCCTTGGCTGCTTGAATTCCGTGACATGTTGTCCTGTGCACGTGCCCGAGCTTTCAGTGCGCCGTTCAGTCCAGCTTCACACGTCAGCCCGCAGCTGCTGTCTGAGTGGGCCGGCCGGCCTGCGCCTGTCTTAGCTAATTCGCCTAGTTCGCGTCCCGGACTTTGCTCTCGCCGCCTGACGGTCGTCTCGCGGCCGCGGCCAAAAAAGTAACCCCACCAGCCCATCCAGAGACGATGCCCAGAGGAGTTGCCTCGATCAGGGAAGTGGGCAGCACACAGAGGAAGGGTCCCTCTTGGAGCGCTGTTGGGACACTCTTGGGGGCCTCTTGGAGCGTCTTGGGTGTCTCGGGGAGCCTCTTGGGGCCTCTTGGGGGTCTCTTGGGAGCCTCTTGGAGGCCTCTTGGGCGCCTCCTGGGGCCTTCTGGGCGCCTCTTGGTGCCCTCTTGAGGCGCTCTTGGGAGCCTTGGTAGCGCTCTTGGGGCCATCTTGGAGGAGATCGATCAAAAAAGATGGGAGTTCTAATTACGTTCCACCTTCGGGAGTCCCAAAAAATCGCCTCTTGGGCCCCTCTTGGGGCGCTCTTGGGAGCTCTTGGCGCCGTCTTGGGGCTCTCTTGGGCCCCGCCCTCATGGGCCCTCCTGGAGCTGTCTTGAGGCCTCGGGAGGCCATGGGAAGCGAAAAGGCGAGAAGGGTTGTTGAAGGATTTGGGCCTCTCGGCGGCCTCCTGGTGAGGAGCCGTGGCCCCTTGGAGCGGTCTTGAAGCCTCTTGGAGCATCTTGGGAGCCATGTTGAGCTATCTTGGGCAAGGTTGGGGCATCTTGGAAGTCATCGTGGGCTCTTCTGAGGCCCTCCTAGAGCCATCGTGGGCCATCTTGGACGCTCCAACGACCCGCGACCCCACCCCTCCAGGTCCAGGGGAGGGGGCAAAGGGGAGTGGTAGGTAAACCCCTCCCCGAAGGGGAAAAGGGAGGGGTGGAAGAGGAAACAAGCTAGACGACCTACGCCCAGAGGGCTGGTGGGACTTAAGACACTACGACGCGCAGTACGTCGCATGTTGAGGCTCATAATGGCTGCCCCAGGGGGTCATGCGCGTGCGACAACAGTAAAACACCGTTGCCGATGACACCAAAAGCTACGACTCTGCACAGGACGTCCACAACACAAGCACAAGCGACGATAGTTCGACAGACGTCAGAAAGCAGCTGGACTTCGACGGCGTCGAAGGCAGTTCTGGCCTCGACCTTGTCCCTCTTCCTCCTCCGCCTCCTCTGCCTCCTCCTCTGCCTCCTCCCTCCCTCTCTCCCTCCCCTCCTCCTCCTCCTCCTCCTCCTCCTCCTCCTCCTCCTCCTCCTCCTCCTCCCCCTCCTCCTCCTCCTCCTCCTCCTCCTCCTCCTCCTTCCTCCTCCTCCTCCTCCTCCTCCTCCTCCGCCTCCTCCTTCTCTGTCCTCCTCCGTCCTCTTCCGTCCTCCTCCTCCCCCTCATTCTCCTCCCCCTCCTCCTCCCCCTTCCCCTCCTGGCACCTGCGCCACTGGGATCCCTACCCAGGAAAACAGGCGGGATGCCCCCCGATCGTCACCCCAGGTGCTTCTTCGAGACCCTTGGGGAGAGAAAAAAGGTAGTCGTAGGCCGTCCCAGCCTGCGCCACGGGGGACGCGTCGTGCCTGGTGCCCCGTGGCTGTTCCCGACTCGCCAGTGCGGCGGGCGGGGATAGTCCAGGGTCCCAGTGCGCGGCTTTTCCTTCTGTGCTCCCGTGCCTGGGTTGTGGGTTTATGCCACGTCTTGCTGCGACACCCTTGCGGTGGCCCACCTGGTATTCCGCCAGGGTTCGGGCGGTGTCGCGGGTCCCTTGTGAGCGGGGGGGGTTCATTGGAGGATCCCCGCCCATTCCTCCCACGGTCACGGTACCCCGCCGTGGCGTGCGCGGGGGCGGGTTGTCATTGAGGGATTGATGTTTTTCGGGTGGCTCATCGGGGTGGCACGACCGAGAGCGGCGCGTCGTTGCGTGAGGCCTCGAAACCGTTAGAACGTTTTTAGTTGCGCTGCGTTACGTTTGCGTTTGCCGCCTGGCACACTAGTCGCGCGCATCGGCTCTAGACGCCCGCAGCCCTCGTTTTGCACCTGTTGCGACGATGCGTTTCCCATCTGGCCGAGGGCCCCACACTCACACACACACACACACACACACACACACACACACACACACACACACACACAAACGGGTCAGCTGGTCTCCGTGCCTCTCATTACTTCCTCCTTACGTTGCGAGGCTTCGCGTGAGTGTGCGGGCACAGCGGTAGAATTGTTGCCAACAGGCGGATTGTACATAGACGGATTCGGGTCTCTCTTGGATGGCGTCAGCTGGGGTTCAGCGTGATACCGAATGCGCGATTGGAATGGACGGTTCGAGGAAGCACTGCCCAACGCACGAACGGCCCAGCACCCCCTCGTGGGGTGGCCAGCGCCGAACACCCAAGGGGGATTGAGCCCAAGGTAAACCCCCACCCCCCGTCATGGATCTCTCGGGGGAGTTGGCTTGAGAGCAAGGGGAGGCCCACCCCCTGAATCTCGAGCGCGAGGGCGCCCGCCTGAATCGCGAGGTGGGGGGGGCATTGAGAGCAAAGGGGGGCCCACCCATGGAGTCTCGAGGGGACGCCCCCCCCCCCCCCCCCCCCCGACTGGCGTTGCGTGATTGGGACACCCCCCTGAACACAAATTCCAAGGGCTGTGGACTCAAACGGAGCGCGACCCCCCCCCTTTCACGTCCACCCATCACCCAGAGCGCTGAACTCAAAGGCCCTCCCCACTTACACCCGAACACCCAGGGCGTTGAGCTGTAGGCAGAACTCCCCACGCGTACCTGATCTTCACACTGGGTTCGTTCTATCCTTCGGTGCGGAGAAAACGAAGAACATGCGGAGATAATGGGTATGGGGCAGATACAACGACCACAGATGCGGAGAAAACAAAGCAGGAACGAAGAGAACTAACAGGGTTGTTTAGAACGGCACAGGAAGGAATACCACACCATTGGAGTGGAAAACACAAATCAGCGGTACAGAAACTTAACACGACTGGGCAACATGAATTGGCGGTGGGGAAACGAAACAGACCGGAGAAAACACACCGATACGTATGAATCGAAACAAGAAGACATTATTACTCGGGGGGGGGGGACAAAAACGACGAAACAGCAAAGAAGAACATGCAACCGCAGTGCAGAGAAGGAAACAGAGTCGGAGCGACCAAATCTTGTACGGAGCAGATTGTACTACGGTGGAGAAAGCGGACATCTGTGAAGAACAGCACAAGCTCGAAGAAACCAGAACAGGTGCGGAGGAAACGAAATGGGGAACGAAACCGTGGCGGTGGAGAACTGAACAGGGGTGGAGAGCACAGAACACCGGAGAGGACGCGAGGCGGCCGTGGAGGGTGCCCAAGAAGGGAAGCGGAGGCAGCACCGAGACGGGAGTGGGCGAGGCGAGGCGGCGGTGGAGAAGGCACGCCTCGGTGGCCCGGGCGGAGACGAAGCCGGGCGGGGAGCAGGCCGCCCACAGAGCGCACGGGCAGACGGGCCCCGACGGGCGGACGGGCGCGGGCAGGCCCTCCGCGCACGGGCGCGCGGACCTCGGCGGGCTGGCCTCGGCGGGCCGGCGGGCGGGGCGGGGCCCGGCGGGCGAGCGCGAGGCATCGCCGGGCGCACGGGCGGGCGGGCGAGCCGCGGGAGCGGCGGGCGCTGCAGCGGGCGGAGGGCGCGGCGTGTGGCCACGAGGAGCGGGCGAGGAGCGCCGGCGGGCGGGCGGGCGGAGAGAGGCCACACGTAGGGGGCCACGCGCGAACCCTGCCCCCCCTGCCCCCCACGATTTCTGCGGGGGAGGGTGGGGTTCGCTTCGCTCGGGAGCTCCCGAGCGAAGTGAACCCTGACCCCTCCCCCGCAGAAATCGTGGGGGGTGGGGGGCAGGGTTCGCGCGTGGCCCCCTGCACATCGGACGGGCGGAGGGGCGGGCGGGCGGCCCACCGCGGTCCGGGTGGGCGGGCGGGCGACGGCGACAGGCACGAGGGCGACGGCGACGGCGAGGGGCGACGGCGCAGGGCAGCGGCCATGACAGTGGGGCGACAGACAGGCGACGACCAGGACGACCCTGACCAATGCTGCGACGAGGGCGACGGCCACGACAACGACCACGAGGACCACAGCCACGACGATGACGTCGGCGACCGCGACGACGACGACGACGAGGACGAGGACGACAACGACGACGACGACGATTACGACGACGAGGACGGCGACGATTACGACGATGAGGCCAGAGGAAACGACATTGGGGCAGAGAAGGCTGAAGCAGGGGCGGGGAAAACTGAACAGGGGGAAAGGAAACTGGAAACTAGTCGGGAGAACGAAACGCTGGCGGAGAAAACGAAAACGGAGTGGAGAAGAGAGTGAAGCCATCCTCTTCTTCGCCCTCCAAAGGGGCTTTCTCAGGAAAGGGGGAGAGCGCGCCAGGGAACAGCACCCCCTGGAGATCCAAGCGGGGGGCCGCTGGACGCAAAGTGTCCCCCCCCCCAAGATCCGCGATAGAGAGGGGTGTGTTGCGTGCAGGAGGGGGGAGGGCGCTTCCAAAGCCGCGGTGTGGGGTGTGTGGCGGGGGGGCAGCGTTGGTTACTGATCCTCCCGCGCCGATTTCCCCACCCCAGCTGTTTACAGTCCCACCCCGCTCCTCTCATTTCTGCTCCTCCTGGCGACGCTGGCCTCCGGGGAGGCCTGGAGATGCCCCCACTCCTCCTCCTCCTCCTCCTCCTCCTCCTCCTCCTCCTCCTCCTCCTCCTCCTCCTCCTCCTCCTCCTCCTCCTCCTCCTCCTCCTCCACCTCCTCCTCCTCTCGCGCTCCTCCTCTCCTCCCGCTCCTCCTCGATCCTCCTCCTCCTCCCCTCCCTCCCGCTCCTCCTCGATCCTCCTCCTCCTCCTCCTCCTCCTCCTCCCCTCCTCCTCCTCCTCCTCCTCCTCCTCCTCCTCCTCCCTCAGTCATCATTATCCCGCCTCCTGCTCGTTTCGCAGCGGGTCTGCCCCCCCCCCCCCGCCCCTCCGCCCAGGCGCGGCCAATAGAGAAGATGGTGTCGGGCTCAGCTTGTGCTTGGGCAAGGCCCACCCCGCCCTCCTCGTCATCAACAGCAGCATCATCAGCATCAGCATCATCCTTGTTACCATCATTAGCAGCAGCAGCAGCATCATCATCATCGGTATCCACACTATCATCAGCAACAGCCTCATCATTACCGTTATCAGTATCATCAGCATCATCAGCATCATCATCAGCAGCAGCATCATACCGCTTGAGCTTCCTGCCCCCTGATTATATCCCGGTTTCTGTTTCTCTTCCTTCATGTTCGTTTTTCCCTTGCTCCGGCGCACACGGCGCGGCGTCTGAGGTTTGGAAGGACTTGCACGGCAAGGCCTGCATAGCATCTGGTATCCTGTTCGTCTTCGAGCTCGGCAGGCCCACGAGCGGGCGCACGGGGGCTAGGGCGAGGAGGAAGAGGAGGAGGACGAGGAAAGAGGAAGGAGGCAGGAGGAGAGGAGAGGAGAGGAGAGGAGGGGAGGGGAGGGGAGGGGAGGGGAGGGGAGAGGAGGAGGCAGGAGGTTGAACTTCAATCCGATTTAAGTACGTGCGGAGGGCCTGAGGACCGAGGACCAATGCTGTTGGCAGCTGCTGGTCCTGTTCAGACTTCCAGGCGAATGCGAATGTGGTTGAATGGCGGGAGGCATGCCTCCTCATCTTCCTCCTCCTCCTTCTCCTCCTGCTCCTGCTCCTCCTCCTCCTCCTTCTCCTCCTCCTCCTCCTGCTCGTCCTCCTTCTCCTCCACCTCCTCCTCCTTCTCCTCGTCCTCCTCTTCCTCATCCTGCTCCTCTTCCTCCTTTTCCTCCTCCTCACCCTCCTCATCCTCCTGCTCCTCCTCATCACCATCATCCTCCTACTCCTCCTCCTCATCATCATCCTCCTCCTCCTCCTCCTCCTCTTCCTCCTTCTCCTCTTCCCCTCCTCCTCCTCGCATCCTCCTCTTCCTCCTCCTCCTCATCCTTCAGCTCCTCGCTCCTTCCCTCCTCCTCCTCCTCCTCCTCGATCCTCGCCCTCCTCCTCCTCCTTCCTC